CCACGTGAATTCTGGTCTTTAACTCTTCCAAAAACCGGGATACAAACTATCCTATGTTTTTCCTGGGTCACAAACTTTCAAATGTGTTCTTCAGGTAGGTGTACCTACATTCGTATCTACATATTACATAGTATAGATTTTTCTAAATTTCACTGTAATTTTTCCCTGAAGGCCTTGGAAACATTCGACACATTATTAAGTTGTATTCATAGTACAATATTATTCAGTAGTATTCTTTTATGTGCCATTTCAGTCGCCTACTTAGGTATACTCGTAGCTCATTAAGTCTGAAACAAAACCTTATACTAGATAGGCTATTAATGTACATTGTTATTGATTTGCAGCTGTATTTTTCCTATGAATAAGTGACATTCTATGTACTGTAACTGTACTATTTAATAATAAATAAATACTTAATTGTCTAGAACAACACGAAGCGTCCCGAGGACCAAACGAGTTATTTATTTACTAACAGTATCTTAGGAGCCACGACTGAAATGTCACGAAACTATAAAATACGCGTGTTTAAAGTTATATTTTTATAGTTTCGTGACAAATCTACTAATAATATTTTTATTAAAGTTAATATTGTCGTAACTTCTACACTTTTTTGTGGCAAAATAAATGAAAATAAAAATATTTGTCGTGGATCGTAAGAGGCCGGACCGTGTGAAACGATAATACCACAGTAGATGATAATACCTAATACGTCAATTTAATATCAATTGAGGTCTTCTTCTTCTTCTTTTTTGATGATGTTGGCAATGCACGTCGAGGTCGACTTGATTTGTGCCATTTTCAAGTATTTATTATGTGATACGAGTCACAACAAAATGAGATCAAGTAATGATATAATGAAGGATGATAGATGATACCCCTTCCCACCCTTTGAGTCTCAGTAAAGTTGTGGTGCTTTACTGAGACCTCCTATGGACAACTTGAGAGAACCAGAAGAATCACGATGCACTGTTTTGCTTCACGTTCACGAACACTCAATGGTGAATAATCCACCATTATTACACATTATTAGTCGCCCAAACACGAATTTGAGGAAATAAAACAAAACCGCTAACTTGACGCTTCAGATTCCCGCCAAGAAGACCAATTGACGTCAATATGACGTCTAAATTAATAATGACAAGCACAGGTATCGAAAAAGTTAGTTGATTGGTAAACAAAGATTGGTAGATGAGATAGGCCCGTGACCAGCTTTTTAAAAGCTTGCAGTTTCTTATGAATTTTTAACCCAATCCAACCATTTACAAATACAAATATTGATTTTAGTAACTAACTTGCATAATATGAGATAACTAGCCCAGTTAATAATGAAAAATAACAAATAATTGCTCTGAACGTGCGCTTACAAACTCTAATGAGGTCCGCGCCATTACCCTACTGGAGGGCGATTGGAAATAAAATTACTGGCACAAAAGACCAACGAGACTCGCAGCAGGGCGCCTGTTATCGTCGCTATGGTTCCTGTCATCATCCAAAACGCCAATTTTAAACTCTATTACCAAAGTAACAAAGATTTTCGAAGTGTAAAGAAAAAATGGTTTTAAGAAACGTCTTTGTTGTGAAAATATCCAGTCGTTAACAATCGTAACGTGTGTTAGGCAGATAGTTATCGGGCCATTCTTGCAGGCACATGGGGGTTAATAAGTATTTGTTTTTTACACTTGCTTTTGTTAATGATAATAGGTAATTGTAACTCTTTGTTAATCAATGTACGTGACATGATTGGGCTACTTGGAATAAAATTTAACTCATGGTAGTAACGTATCTATGTACCTATTGCTTTGAAGGTTGATAGAGCATCTTTCATAAAATATAATTTGTAGGTAAATGTACCTATAGGTACAAAACACTGGATTTGTGCAACTCTATCGAATGGCTTATATTATAACAAATGTTAAATATATTTTCAGGTACGTAACATTGTAGAATAGCAATTCGCTATTTAATCTTTCTACCTAATCCTAGCAAATATTTGTAGAGTCGCAGAACTCGCAGACAAAATTGTGTTGTTTATTTAATATGTATATCTATAATGTACATTATTCCGTTGTTTTATCCATAGAAATATATCCATAAATCGTGCCCATAAAAATATAATTGTTATTTTATTGAAATGCCTCGAATCAAGCAATTAAAGGAGATATCAAAAAAAAAATTGATAAATAAATAAATGTAGGACGTAAAAAGTTTACGGGTCCACCTGTTGGTTTATGGGATAGTGTTTAATTGGTCATATATCATAGTTTACGACGGAGTTATCGCGTCACTTTGTTTTACGCGTAATATAGTAGTGTTGTGCGCAGGAACAATCGTTAAATGGAAATAGTGAGGCTGTATTTCAATTTAACTGGCGCGGCAATGAGGTAGGATAATTTGAAGTGTCGCGCGTTGGTTATGAGTAGGTATGAGATATAAGGACCTCAGATTCATCAATCAGCTGATGCTAAGCTAAAGGTGACCTTTCGGGTTTTGATCTTCACGTCATGTTCAACATTAACATTATTGTCATGACACCACGGTGCTTTCAAGAATCTTTGAGGAGAAAACAAATTGATATCTAGAGATATTTATCGACGGAAATACAATAATTTATTTTCTTATTACACTCGAATGTCGAAAAAAGACGTATGAAGTCTGAAAATGATAAGCCGGATTTTCCACATTCATTTTCAAGTTGTTCTTGTTGTTATTAGGTTTTATCTCCCAGGCGTAAGCCTTGGCAATGATGTGTCTACGCTCATAGATTGCACCTTCAATGCAGCAGGCCCACGTAAGAGGAGCATCCTCATAGAACCTTACTAACTCACTGGTCAAACGAAAAGTTAGTTTCGAAATTCGTACGGACCTCAAAATGGCCCCTCGGCCGTGCGCCTGCGGCCGCTGCCCGCCGTAAACGTCACAACTGAAGCTGTCCTAAAACCACGGTGACACTCCAAATTGATGGCGCCATAACATTTTTAATGCAACTTACAAAATTTCCCACTGTTTTTAAACTTTTTATTTACACAAGAACGCTTTGTTGCTCAAATTTTATTGTGTTTTAGTAATAAAGTCGCGTTTATCGAGCGCGTCGATCGTTCACGAAGTTTCAGATAAAATTATCATTTTGACCATAAATTTTGCGGTCGGATGGTCAATATTTTACAACATGTTTACTTTATTGCATAAAGAAACAATGTTCATTAGGTTAATTAATTGTGTACTTAAACGCCATTGTGTGTTACCTAACAGGTGGTTAAGGTTAAACTGAATATTATTTGGAATAGGGGTAATTTCCTCATAAACATGCGAAGGATTTATTATACCTACGTATTAAAGATGTTGAAAATGCAAATTCTATTTAAATTATTATGTTTTATGTTTGCATTTGTGTACGATTTGTTTTACGGTAAACAACAATTTAGCTAGGTATTTTGTAACTAAGTAGGTAGGTATGAGTAATTACTCATTTCAGTACTAACTAATTATTACCTTTGTCTATCTACATTTTAATGCTGAAATTGTAGAACCAATAATGTTGGGAGTAAATTGTACATTGAATAGTTACATTATGCTACGTTGATCTCAGAAAGTGGCATTTCACCGCTTCATGTAAACAAGCATCCACTAAAGACCGCCGTAGAGTGGAAAACCGTATTATATTATATATCCTTTCGATCTTCAGGAAATTTCGACTATTTTTAGATCGTACGATTATATTTTAGATTGCCTGGAGCCAAGCCTAGCTTTCTGTAGCCAGCATGTGTGTATCTCTGAAATGATAATCGGCACTTAACGAGATCGCCTGTAATTGATACGAAGCCCACCGCCCTATCTAGAATAGACCCATACCCACATTTTAGTGGCGATAAAAATTTAACTATAGAGATATGTTGATGGCCCTAGCTGCAGCCCACCGTGTTAATTTGTGTTTTATTGCTGTTTTAGGTGCCTTTTGTCGCCGGCCATTCATTTACGGGCTGTATCGGAACATTAAACTGTACATAACAATCAAACTGACGGTATCATTTTTATCTAACGGTTAAGTACAATGTTACGCAACACGCATTTCCAATACAACTCTAACGAGACTTCGCCCGTACTTGTGGGCCACGAATAAATTGAATATAATGGCATCTAGGATCAAAGTATCTAGTATATTTGGATTTAAATTCTATATTAAGTAAACCTACAGACCAATAAAATATGTAGATAATTGTAGATAATAAGTACAAAAGTAAATCAGTTACAAACAAAGTTTGTAACACCCAAAACCAAGATTTGGCATTTCTCAGCCTCTTATCTCCAGATCAAGGCATTAACAGCTGATCATATCTACTCCGAATGCTCGCCAATTAGCCATGCGCACGCGTCGCCCAGCTGCCTCGCGCACTTCCTCTGATCTTTGACTCGCGCAATTGCCAGCATCTGTCGTCTTAGCTATGACATAAGACCTGCTCAATTGGACCTGTGTCTCCCCTTTGTCCCCCTCAGAAAGACGCGTGGGAGACCAAGTTATACTGGCCAGGACAATTAAATTACCACGATGTTCTTGCAGCTAGTGTAACCTTACTTCTTGGAGATAGAGATGTATATTGCAAAGATGGTGATTCAGGAAAGTTTGTAAGAAATATTACTCAATCCGTTATTGTCACGAGGATATGAATTGAAGTGGTTCGCGATCAAATAGGTGTTTCCGTCGCATCAGCTGTTTACTCACTGCGTACTCGGATAAAAATGTTTGGACAGCAACTTGAAGGAATTGTTGATGTTTCAAAAATATTAAATACGTTTTTAATATTTAATAGTAATCAAACACAGCAACCACACAGCTGAAAGTATTAGGTTGGGTTCAACTATAACGTAATAAGGCAAGTATTCATACTATTTTCTTTCTTACTAAGAAGATTTATGGCTTAATCTTTGCCTCTGACTATATGCCAAATTATTGTCATCATTCATTGTCAATATCTGAAAGATGTCATCAAACATGGTCACTTAAAAATTTTAAGTTGAAAACAATCAAAATAAAGTAGTATGAATTACAAACAAGTCGGTTTCAATGAATCACAGTCCTTCCACGTGTCGCGCGTGCCGGAGGAGTGCGAGGTCAGCAGCATCCGGCCCGTGCTGCACAGTAGCGAGGATGTCAAGCGGATGGTGGAGGAGAGCTCCCGGGCCAGGCTCATCTCACAAATAGTCGCCGCTCCCGAAGACTACCTGTCCAGAGACTTCGCTGCATCCTTTAAATGCGCCACAAGAGACACCGATCCTCCACAGTTCGCGACCTCGCACAAATCCCGCCCAGAACCGAGGCGGCGGACGACCATCCCTACCTACCCATCCTTGGTGCAATCTCTACGATGGAGTCCGTACGTGGAAGTATCTTCCCCAGAAAGTTCTCACACAAACCTTCTAGAAGAACACCCAAAATTCAACTGCAAATGCGAAAGCTGTTCGGTCAAAAATTGCCCTTCGAGAGTGTCTTCTGTGGGCACTCTGAAGCCTGTCGCATTCAAAGACAATATTATGACGTTTTCCGATCGCTGCACGATGACTCCGCGGCTCAACGACGCGTGCTGCGGGGTCTGCACTCCCATTCCCACCACTCCGAAGATGTCCGACGTGTGTGTGCCTCCCGAAATTGCCGTGAGAGACACAGAGACAGTTACACATTTCCCGAATATGTACACCAATGAGAGCTGTGCGCCGATACCGATATTAAAAAGACCTGAGTATAGCCAGCCTGCGTGCACGTACGGCTACTGCGGCCACGCGACTGGTCACGTCCCAGTCGGGATACGCCAAGAAGCTGTGCGAGATACAGACATAGGGGAGGACTACTGCGAGCCCATCAAGCCCAAGTCTCTCAAAAACTTCTTTAAGTTCAAAAAGAAACATGAGCAGCCTCATTGTATGCCAGAATACGGCAGAGCAGTCATATACAACGAGGGTATAAGCGACATGGTTGCGAATAAGTGTACAATTCCAATACCACCAATTCGTGTTCCGTCTCCTGTAGCTATTAATAGGGAGAGCAGCAAAGTCTCCGTCAGATCAAAGACCAGGTGTTATCTTGACAATGATGATGGTATACCGTACGCGCATAGGTCTGAGTCAAGATATCACCATAGTTGTAAGAAGCCAAATTTGAGACCTTCGTACCACTGTTGTGATGCTGACGAGGTGCGGCACTTGGTGGAGAGCCCGAAGATAGTTCGGAAGACGTTCACGAGCACAAGTAGACCGGCGAGGAGCTACAGAGTGCCTTCGATATCGCTCCCGAGGAAGGTGCTGACGTCAGAGGCCGACATAGAGTCGTACATAGACAAGGGGCGGCAGGAGTCAAACACTGAAAGCCAGTCAAGTCGCCGTAAAAGGAATAAGAAATAATATTATAAGCGTGTTTGTGATTATTTGACTTGCATTGTTTACACCGTAATGGATATCAAACGTATCAAGATTATTAAAATATCAAGAGTCATTTGTTTTAATTTATTGCTACAAAAAACTTGCGGTATAGTTGTTTGAGTAAACTCTAGGGTCTAAACTTATTAATATAAATACATATAGCAATTACTGGAAAGATATTTCTGATAGACTCTCCACTTGAATGCCCGGTAGTCATCAGGCAAGTGCGTAATCATAATGTTGTATGGAATATTCCTCGGATTACAGCCAGCAGTGCGCGTACATGACGTTTAATATTCGCACTTGATTTAAAGCAAATGCTCCGCAGAGCAACAAAACCGACGCAGGGGGAGCCGCGGCTCCACACATGTAATGTGGACAGTTGACCACATAAATGATATTGATTTCAAATATTAATTTTATTCAAAATCCAGATAAGTTAATATTTCTAGTTCATGAAATGTATTATTTTGATAATGTTTCGATGTGTTATTTTGTGCCTGCTGAGTCACCAATAAAGCGGCAGTCGACAAGCCGAAGATAGAATATTATGGCTTGTTTGGGCGAGGTCTATGTCCAGTAGTGGACTCCTAAGACTGATGATGGATGGTGAATACCACTTTAACCATCATAGACAGGGCTAAGCTTAAATAGCTGATGACTTAAATAACTTTTGTCTAAAGAAAATATCGCATTAAATGAACATACAACTGCGGCAAGTTATTTTTTTTAAGCTTATTCGAGATCGAGGGATATTTACTTAGCGGAGTGTACCGTGACCGAGGTCAGCAGCTGCGGAGAAAGCGATTGGATAATCTCCGCAATTGCCTGCAACTGCATCTTGTTAACTGTTTGGTATCAACTACCAAGAGTACTTGATGCAGGACGAGACTTTTTCTAAACATTTTTTCAGAGATTGAAATCTTTGGTTGTTTGTAAATAATGTTTCGTAGGGACTTCGAGTCTTAATAGAGAGGAACTCTACGACTCTATGCGTACTAGAGGTTTTACATTAAGTGTAACATGTAAGAAATAAACCCATCAAAAACAATACTTGTCAAAAAAACCAAGTCTCGCAACTCAGTTGTTCTACGGTAAAAAGTTGTGAGATCCATGTAATACCAAGTCCAGGCCAGGAAATCTTTAATTAACGTTTTACATAAATTATTGACTTGGCCATCGCACTAAATAATTTAATTTACACGTGTTTTCATGCGATGGCCAAGTCAATATATTTATGTAAAACGTTAAAGATTTCCTGGCCTGGACTTGGTATTACATGGATCTCACAACTTTTTACCGTAGAACAACTGAGTTGCGAGACTTGGTTTTTTTGACAAGTATTGTTTTTGATGGGATCTCATTTCTTTTTGTATTTTGTAGACAGCAGTTATGTATCTAGAAAACTGGACCGAAATTGAAAAATTTTACTCGACTTGGCGGTTGCACTACCGTGCCCCCAAATATTTTAGTTTTTCCTTGATTCATACACCAAACACTACTTATATTCCAAATTTGAAGCTTCTAGGTCTGCTAGAAGTGCCTTAGAGTTTTGATGATCGGTGAGTCAGTGAGTCAGTCAGTGAGTGACAAAATTAAGTAACTTTGACCCGTTATAATTCTTAAACTACTGGTTCAAATTGAATGAAATTTTAAATATACCGTGTCTTTACAATGCCTGCATAGCTAATGAAAATTCAGCCTTCTAGTTTTATCCACAACGAAGTTACAGGCGGTCGAAAATGGCCTGAATTGCTTCGAGAAAAGGATGGTACGGCCGTGCCGCTTTTTTGCTCGACTTGGTGGGGGATAAAACGAATTATCTTCTCTTTATCCATATCTATCTGACATAGTTACACTTCACATGTGCCCTGACAAAAAACCTTTGCAGGGCAAATAATCCATCCTAGACTGCATCTCACTTACAGTTTGTCTATAAAGTCGTGACATAAAATGAGGGCGCTTTTTTTCTACATGGAGCAACCCTATACACTCTGACCAAATGATTTTGATACGAGGGCTTCTTGGCGGGAATGTGAAGCGTCATGTTAGCGGTTTTGTTTTATTTTCTAAAATTCGTGTTTAGACGACTATTAATGTGTAATAATGGTGGATTATTAACCATTAAATGGTCGTGAACGGGCATGAGTGTGGGCAAATGAAACAAAACAGTGCGGCGTTATTCTTCGGATTCTCTCAAGTAAGTTCATATGAAGTCTCAGTAAAGCACCACAACTTTACTGAGACTCAAAGGATTTGAAGGGGTCATCATCATGATCATCATCATCTTAGCCATAGGACGTCCACTGCTGAACATAGGCCTCCCCCAATGCTTTCCATACTGCCCGGATGCCCGGTTGGTAGCGGCCTGCGTCCAGCACCTTCCTGTGTAGTTAGTAGTTTAACCAATTTAGACGACGATATTTTGTTTCTGCTTTTTATACAGTACCTACCTATGCTTATGAAAGGTTTTACTAAGCATTTTCTATTGAAACAGCATAATAAAAAACGCATTATACATAGTTGATAAGGAGATTTATTAATCACTTTCATCATCTGATTCCAAATATTCGATGTCAAGAAAAGTTTCGTTGCCACCTTCATAAGCAGCGCTGTCATCACTACAGCTGTCTTCGCTGCTACCATTATCGCCTAAGCAAATAACCAATTCGTCTATGTCTTGGTACAGGTGACGTCCTCTCTCGTAGTATTCTGTTTCGAGCTTCTCGACGTGATGGCAGCAGTTTTTCCAAGTTTCAGCTGTGATGCTGCTGAAGACCTCTTCAGCCAATTGCTTAATATCACATGACCCAACATTGTGTGCTGCTATTTTTTGTTTAACGTTAGCCCAAATTAGCTCTATAGGATTTAAATCACAATGATACGGTGGAAGCCGTACCACTGTGTGCCCATGTTCTCCTAACAGTTCATCGATGAAATAGATGGGGCGGGGTTTGTTTTTTTAACTAACCTTAGTAAATTTGGCTTCCTGAGTGTAGGGTCAAAATTTATATTATTTTCTAATAGCCAGAGTTTTATCTCGTCGACGCGGGATTTAGAAGTGGGCGCCTTATTTGTCATGACGGAGTGGTAGGGCGCATTGTCCATAACTATGATGAATGGCTCGTGGAGATTTGGTATTAGTTTTTCTTTAACCCACTTCGTGAAGTTGTGCGCATTCATTTCTGAATGGTAGTCTTCCAAATTATTTCTACCAGTGAATATGAGGAGGCAGTTTGGCACAAACCCCTTTTCGCTTCCAGCATGGACTATGATGTAACGCTTTCCTTTGGAAATGTCTTTTGTGATACCTTTGATGTTTAGAGATTGCCAACATTTTGTGACCTGGTGGGAAAATAAATAGATTCTTGTTAGTGAATATATTATAAAATTATACATCTATACTAATATTATTAAGAAGATAGATTTGATTATTGGTTTATTTGGATGGGGTTTAAAGGGGTAAAAGGTGGAGGGGGAGGGTGTAATAGGCTTTGAAACTACTTTACCGATCTGAAAAATTCGTTCATCATTACAATACAAAAACTGCTTAACAGAGGCTATAATAACATAGGTTACCTTGTATGAAGAATGAATATAGCTCTCATCGAGATAAATAATGTCTTTTCTTAGTTCTTCAGGCAAATCTCGATTTTTTTTTTATGATAGCCAAGTAATCTTCTCGTTTTGCAGCAATATGCGATTGTTCGATTAGAGCACTTCTATTATTTTGGCATTTCTTATACGAAAACCCTATTGCATTTAAAATTTTACGTAGAACTTCGAGACTACAATCAAAATCCAGCTCAGTTCTGGTGATCACCTGCAATTTTCTGAGGGTCGGTACCTGAAATTTCAAAGGGTTCCATTGATTGTACATCTGACTACATACAATAAATTAAAATTTAGGCATACTTACCTACACACAAAAAACATGCATAAGACGAAAAATAAAATACCTCTTTTTGTACCGTGTAAAAGAATTGTATTTTTTGGCGCAGAGCACAAATATTAAAATCATCCATTTCTTTCTTTGGTCGGCCTTGTCTGTGTTTCCCAGGAGTTCCAAATTTTCCATTATTTTGAAAACCTTCGTTGACTATGCGCCTAACCGTACTCTCTGATTTTCCTGAAAAAAAAAGTTTAAATTCTAAAGGGATGGAAAGAATCTACAATACCTGATTAATATTATTTATTGTTAAAGATTTACCAACAAGATATCATTTCACAAGCATTAACATTATAAGAGCTAAATCATAATAATAAAAAAAAAATTGCAACAAATTATTAATTTTGTAGATGGACCACTAGACGTGAAAGTGACGTCATTTAGTTATCAGTGGCCAACTATTAAATTCTTAGAAAATTTGACTGAATTGTACCATCCTAATGTATCAAAAGAAATGGTCGTACTTCAATAATACCTACTTACAATGTGAATCTAACCTAAAAATGACCTATGTAAACAATGCCTGTTTTGGTGTCCAAATCGCAAAATGCAGTAAATTTGTTACTTTAGGTAGATTATAAACAAGCAGTAACACGATTACATACCCGTCAAAGATGCTGTTCGCCCATAAACATCATCCAAATCCCACAAAATTTGACCAGCTTGGTACTCCGCGAAACATTGCTGGAAAACTTTAAAAATCACTTCCCGCGTGCCACTCCGATTTACTTTACTCATTGTCTAAACTTTTCTTCGTAGCTGAGTACTAATTTACTGTAGATTACTCAAACAATAAAACACACAAAATGAAAACCGTTCCGCAACTTGTAGTCTATGACAGCTGATGTACATATGTTTGGTGAACTTCGGTGTTGCCAGACACATGAATAATTTTAGTTCCTCAAACATTCATGTCATGACTTTATAGACAAACTGTAACACCAGGTGCGATTGCGGTCAAATACCTGTCTTGGCTAGCATAAAAAAAAAAAAAAAAAAATCATAAGACATGGAAGGCTCCTTAAGATCACGAATGATTTAATGATTTAAGTGCTCATTCAACTAGACATTTTAGTCTTTGATTTTGGGGCATATTAAATTTGTTTAT